CCCCCCCTCCCCCTTCCCGGCCCGCGAGAGTTTCAGCGAAAGCAGGGTTGTGTGGATGGGAGAGTGCGCCGTTACGGGGCTCCGGTCTGAAGTGGGCCAAAACGATGCTGAAAGTTGTGATCCAGGAAGTGGAGCACGCATCATTAGGATGCGTCTCAACCACTATACGGCCGTTTTATGGTCGTCCTTGCTTGAGGTAGCTATGATGGCTGCTACACTCTTAATTGTTGTAAACTTTTTTTACGCTTTTGCCTGCGATATTACGCATTTGCGCACACTTTTCCAAATTATTGCGTTTAAAATAAGCAACAGCGAAGACACACACAAATTCATACAAACTTCGTAGAAAAAAGTTGGTGGCAATCTACTGTGCACGCACTGGTTTCATTTTTTCTGGGTGAATCTAAGACATCGACTATAAAGCATGTCCGTTTTGCTCAGATTCATCCGACAAGTTACAGGAGCTCGGCGCCTGCGAGACTCAGGGTAGGCCAACCTGCAGCACACCCATGCGCTGCATGCAAGATGTTGCCTACCTACCAGGCGCTATGAGAGCTTACCTGAACTTGGCAGCTTCGTAACGGCAAAAATGACGGTCGAACTTTCCTGTGCATTCATGAATCATACACTCAGGCCGGTACGAATGGCGCACTGCCCCTGACGTGATTCCCCCCTCGACGCGGCTACGCTTTTTCGCCCGATGCGCCGCTCTGCTGGGCTGGCGGGATACCTTTCAGGTCCAGGAGGTGACCCTCGTCATTTCCATCAGACCCGGCCTTGCCGTTCCCGACCAAGGTCCGAAATAGAAGGGTCTTGTCCCCCCCCCCCTTACCCTCCAAAACCAGAGAGGCGGCCTCACCTCGTAAAACAAGGCGTCTTTTTTACCGTTGTACCTCCTACCGCCGCCGTGCGCCGTACTTGCGCAACTCAGGCGCCCTTTGAAGAACGCTGCCGCCCGCCCCGCCCGGATTTGCCCTTGAATCCCCCGCCTTGCAAAGGAGCCCTGCGGGGGAAGCGATGGTAAGCCTTCGTTCGCCCGGAGCAGCCGCCGGTCGCGCCCCGGCCGGGGCGTGGGAAGGGGGTGGGGGGGAACTGCCATCCCGACAAGCAGCCGCCTCTGCAGCAAGTCTGCCACCTTTGCCGCCTCGAGCCTACCTCACTAAGCAGCTGCGAAGCCTCCGCTGCGGTCGTCACCGTCACACATTGGGCCGGGCGGGGTGGGGCCGGGTCAGGTGGGGTCGTGTCGAGCGGCTTATGCTTTTGTGATGTTCCTGCGGGAGGCAATCACTCACTCACTCCAGTTCGCGCCCTTTTTTCTTGCCATCCCCCCCC